CATCCTAAAGGAGATCAGTCCTGAATATTCATTGGAAGGACTGATGCTGAAGCTGAGGCTCCAATACTTTGGCCACCTGATGTGAAGAACTGACTCATTGGAAAAGACCCTGATGGTGGGAAAGATTGAAGGCAGGAGATGGGGACGACAGAGGATGAGATGGTTGGATGGAATTACTGACATGATTTTGAGCAATGTCTGGCTGTTGGTGATGGACAGGGAAGCCTGGCATGCTGGAAGCCATGGGGTCACAGAGTCAGACACAAGCGAGCAACTGAACTGAACACGTATATGATAACTGAATGATTTTGTTGAACACCTGAAACTCACCCAATGTTTTAAATCAGCCATGCATGTTAATAGCACAGTCGTTTCCAACTCTTTGCAACCCCATGGACTATATCCCGTCAGGCTCTTTGTCCATAGCATTCTCCAGGCAAGAATACTGGAGTGGGTTGCCATTTCCTTCTCCAGGGGAATCTTCCTTACCCCAGGGATCGAACCCAGGTCTCCTGAATTGTAGGCAGATTCTTTACCATCTGAGCTACATATACTTCATTAAAAAAAAAAAAAAAGAATCTTCTTGCAGATAGCATTATCTTCTTAAAATTCACAGCAGATTCTATCATGCTCTGATTTGTTCAAGTGACTTCTCAGCCTGATTTGTATAAAACCGCTATTTCTTGTCTCCCTACCTCAGTTTATGTGGATCTGGCTCCCTTTCCAAACTCATCTCCTTTCTTTTTTTTTTTTTTACTTAAAAAAAATGTTATATTGGAGTAACCATAGATTTGTTTTCTACATCTGTGACTCTATTTTTGTTTTGTAAATAAGATTCCACCTGTAAGTGATATCACATATTTGTCTTTTTCTGTGTGACTTTTTTGCTCAGTATGATAATATGTCCTCCACGTCACTGCAAATGGCACCATTTTATTCTTTTCTATGGTAGAGTAATATTCCATTGCATATATGTACCACATTTTCTTTATCCATTCATCCACTGATGAACATTTAGGATGCTTCCATCTCTTATCTATTGTCAATAGTGCTGTAATGAACACTGGGGTGCATGTGTCTTTTTGGATTACAGTTTTCTCCCAATATATGCCCAGGAGTGGGATTGCAGGATCGTGTGGTAGCTCTTTTTATCATTCTTTAAGGAGCCTCCATACTGTTCTCCAAAATGGCTACACCAATTTGCATTCCCACCAACAGTGTGGGAGGTTCCCTTTTCTCTGAACACTCTCCAGTACCTATCATTTGTGGATTTTTTGATGAAAGCCATTCTTGACAGGTGTGAGGTAATACTTCATTGTAGTTTTGAGTTGCATTTCTCTAATAATTAGTGATGTTGAGCGTCTTTTCATGCATTTGTTGGTCACTTGTATGCCTTCCACCCAAGGAGAAACTTGCCTTCTCTTTGTGACTGGAGTTTTCCCATCAACCAGTCAAGGTGGCTATGGCTTAGGCAGGACTGGTGGTTTCCTGAAAGTGACACAGCCAGGCTGGGTCAGGGCTGGGAACCTGAGTTCCACTCTGCCAGACCTGGGGAGCTGCGAGATGAAGGAGAGGCAGGAATAAAGGCTTGGCAGGATCCAAATATTAAGGGAAGTAGGATCACTACAAAGCCAATGAAGTTCCTGGGTTCTGACACACACTGGCCTCTTCCAAGGCTCTAGAAGAGGCACTGCCCATGGCTGACATGCTCAGATGTTATTATAAGATGTGCAAAAGTAAGATTCTTGAACCATACCAGTTACGACTGCTGTCTCTTTCCCCCGCAATAGGTTCCCATCAGGCAGGGTTGGTGAGTTGCAGGTGTTTTGGAATCTGGCTAAGCAGAGATTGAAGCTACGCTTAGCATGAGTATAGTGGGTAGTAAAAAAGTGAAGTCGCTCAGTTGTGTCCAACTCTTTGCAATCCCAAGGACAGTAGCCTGCACCAGGCTCCTCCGTCCATGGGATTTTCTAGGCAAGCGTCCTGGAGTGGGTTGCCATTTCCTTCTCCATGTATATTATTTCTAGCTAATTTCATTTAACATTAAGCTACAGCTAGCTGTTCTGGTGTGGAAATGGCGTCCAGAGATATTCCTCCTCTGACTCTTACTGACAACGTGAAAATACAAGGCCAGGGGTCATACCACTAGGAGGATGTGTCCAATGTGCTTGATGCCAGAAGAAAGTGAGGCAATGAACAGAGCTAGAAGCCAGCCTATGGCGCACACTTCCAATCCTCAGACACAGGAACACGAAGTTGTTTGTCTTTACCAAATGGACCTTCCTATCCTTCTGATCCTGTCTCTAGAAAAGCCATGTTACCTAATCATTGTCATTTAAAGAGACAACCAGAGGATGATGAAGCCGAAACATGGAGAGAATACGAAAAGTATTTCAGAGCTGTGGTGATGGTGGTGGTGGTTTAGTTGCTAAGTTGTACCCAACTCTTTGTGACTTCATGGACTGTAGCCTATCAGGCTCCGCTGCCCGTGGGATTCTCCAGGCAAGAATACTGGAGTGAGTTGCCATTTCCTTCTCCAGGGGGATCTTCCCAGCCCAGGAATCAAACCCAGGTTTCCTGTATTGCAGGCAGATTCTTTACTGACCGAACCACCAAGGAAGCCCATTTTAGAGCTGTGCTAGCAGTTCATCCAAACACTGTTATCTTCTCATTCTTCTGATATCTGTGGGGCTTGTCAGTGTTTCAAGTTTTCTTTCTTATCATAATGTATTTCTTTCACTGTAATCAATATTCACTTTCCTAGGTAAATTTGTGTTCTTGTTTTCTTAGAGAGGACCCTGAAGTGGACCAGTTCCCCCAAGGATACACTGGGACGTGAATGCGGAGGCTATAGGAGTAGGTGGTGGAAGCCAGTGAGGGCATTAGGGTGGGATCCTGGGCCCGGAGATTTGTTCTGGCCAAAACCAGTCCTGCTTTGCACAGACTTTAGAACAGCTGTCGTTCTTCCTCCAACACTGAAATCCTCATCTCTTCAGCCCTCATTTTGAGCTGAAGCCAAATGATTTCCTGTGTTATCTCTGTTTATCAGCTCTCTATTATCATGATGGCCTGAGCCACCCACTCAATAAAACAAAGCAAACAAACTTCCACAAACCCGCAGACAGCTCTGAGCTTACAGGGCTGCTTTTATTTCCTAATTAACAAGTCATCCTTAGCCAATCGGCTGATCCGCTTGTCATCCCTTTTGGATTTGTGGGCAAACAAACCACCCCTGGGCCCCAGGCAATAGCTCCGGGGCCTCCTCCCCTGCTCTTTGCTGGGGCTTCCTTCCTCTTCGTCCCTGTTCTGTCTGTCTGTAGAGTTAATAGGCTTGTAAGGCGGTCTGTTTGGGCTGCCATGGCCGAGGCTTCTGGACTAAGCCCCTCTCCCCTTCAGCTTCACAGCTCTGTCCTTTCGTCTTGCTCCACTTCTCAGTACTGAATCCCTGGAGTAAGAGGACGAGGACCAACCACTAGCACGGTTAATGCAGAGAACATGCAGGCAACCTCTTCATGACAATTATATCTTAGACACTGGCCGCTCTTTCCAGAGCCTCCTTCCAGCAGAGGGGGTAGGGAAGCTCCAGGATACCAGAGAGAGAAGGAGAGGCGTCTGCCTCCCCAGGAGGCAAGCAGATGCTCCCAAGGGCTTCACTTGCCTCCCTGCCCATCACAACTTCCTGCATTCAACAGCTCTGCAACCTTCAGCAAGTCACTCCCCATCCCTAGGCCTTTGTCTCCTCAACTGTGAAAGAAACAGGTCAGGATAATTTGAGGTCTCAGAAGGCTGGTTCTCATACCAAACCTGGCCAACAGGTAAGTTTTGAGGACTCCACACAATGCTCTGTCTTATTTTTGTATTTGGATTGGTTGCCAACACTTTAGAAATGTAGAATCATCATCTTTTTAAATGTAGATATCAGGGTGCTTTCAAAACACTCAGAAGACCTGACTTCATTGAGCCCACATTCCCTCATGGTGACAATTAAGAGAAGTTGCCCCCAAGAGATAAGGCATGGTCTTTCCAGTTCACCACAGTTCCCACCACTCCCTATCATCCACCTAACACACTTTACTCATGAAAGTTAGTTGTGTGACCCGCGAAGGTATATGAGTTTGTGATGGCAGGCTTGTTTTGTCTACTATTTTGTACTCTTTATTCTGCATCCCCTGTGAGTATTCACAGTTCATTCTACAGGTGTTTACTGCCCCCCTCTCATATTCCTGGTCCTGGGCTAGAATACAAGAAGGCACACAGACTAAAAGTTGGCTTCCATCCTGGAGCCCCAAGAGTTAGTGCAAGGGGCACAGGGATGAACCAGATAAGAATTCGTGCTGATGGAGGAAGACTTTCTCCCAAATAAACATAAAACCAGTTTAAACTCTCTCTGCTTATCCTTGTATAACCATACTAACTAACATATATGTGGCCCACGAGAATGTTCAGGACTCTTTCCTATCTATTTGATCTTTGAGTCACTACTACAACCTAGAGAGGTAGATACAGTTTCTAGATGCTGACAGTTGCTGCTATGGTCTGAATGTTGGTGTGCCTCCCAAATTTATGTGTTGAGAACCTAAGGCCCAGCGTGACGGTATTAGGAGGAGGAGCCTTTAGGAAGTGATTCAGTCATGAGGGCAAGCCCTCTTGAATGCGACTAAGGCTCTCATAAAAGAGGCCCTAGAGAGCTAGCTAGTCTCTTCCACCATGGGGGACACAATAATCTGGAAGACAGCCCTCACCAGAACCTCATCATGCCAGCATGCTGATCTCAGACTCCCAGCCTCCAGACCTATGAGAAACAGATGTCCATTATCAATAAGCCACCCAGTCTCTGGTATTTGTTTTGGCAAACAGACTAAGACAGGAGTCGAGTGACTTGCTGAAGTTCTCCACGGGTTGTGGACTTAACACTCGGTACAAACATCCAGGTGCAATTTTAAAACTTGGCATCTTCCATTCCGAATGCTTTCTGTGCTATGCCCATCACACACCCTTTTGCCCTGGTAATTGGTGTCTGAGCTCCAGGAAACAGCCCTGGTTCATAGGCTCAGGAGACATTGGAGAAGTGTCTCACTCAAAGACAGAACAGAGAGCTAGTTCTCTGCACGGCACCTGCATCATAACTCCCTCTTTTCTCCTAGATCTGCTGGTATCACCAACCAACACTGCAAAGGTCAGCAGCCAAGTCCTGGTTTCCAACGTCCTGTGGTCCGGTGAGCACCCTATTTGGCCAATTCGCCCTAATTGTGTATATGCAGAGGAATAGTTGTATTCCACTCCCACTTTGGACCAAGAAGTGTATGAGTCCAGGGTCCTAGTGAATGACAGTCTTCCAGTTCTAGAGAAATGATCAAAGTGATGCTAACAAACTATAGAAGATGAGGGTCTGGGTCTATAAATGCTTTCCCTCCAAGGGTGCAATTCTGAGTCCTCTTTCTAGGCTCCATGCCAAGAGTCAGAAACCTTCTTGACCTTCGGGGACTGCCACAAAAGGGGTAGGGGAGTGGCAGGTGACCCCCCTGACAGGTTGCCAACGACACTGTGTGCTGGACCATGTCTTCACATGCATGGACAACTTCCTCTTGTTACAAGCTTCTCCTTGGTTGAAAGTCATAAATCTCTTGTGATTCAGGTGACAGGCTACTGGGATCTTTTCCTTTGGCATAGAGAGCAGATGTGAATCCAGCGCAATCTGGAGGAGAAGGAATCCATCAGATCCAAAGCCTGGGGTTTTTCTAGCTGGGCAGGACAAGGAAGATAAAACTTGTTAGGGACCTGAGACTCCTCAGCTGGTGGAGTTAAGATGCAAAGCTAGGCCCCTGGCTAGTTCTCCATCACTTGTATCTTCGCTTGTATCTGCATGTTCCCCTACTTCTACTTAGATGCCTGAGACCCCATGATTTAGCACATTGCTATCACCCAGCTGAGCTGCCTTCATCAGGGGCCCAGACCTTTCCTCTCCCATCCTCTCACCCAAACTCATTGGCCCCATTGAATACATGCTGACCCACTCCCTGCTGCTAATGGCTAAAGGTACCACTAAACGTCCATGCATGCAGTCACACTGTCCCTTCCCACATCACATGGGCCTAGAACTGGCCAGACTTGGACACCAGACAAAGAGGTGGACTGACATAAGTGAGTCATGAAAGTTCACTGAGCCTGGAACTGGACGGGACCACAAAGGATGCTCAGGACAAAGGAGTCCAAGTTCCTAACCCAGTGCATGATATTCTTGTTGGATGAATGAACTAATGCATGAATGAATCAAGACCTGGGTTGAAAACTCAAGAGGAATGCTGGCAAGTGCCAAATTCAGCAAATGAAAGGGTGGAGAATGGAAGATAGAACACAGACAGGTGGAGAACTTCAGGATCTGTGGTGTGGAGAGGCTGTGGCTGTCCAGTGCCCATGCTCTCTTTCTCTGATGACAGACTTTGATTGTCCCTCTGCCGCGCTGCAAGCCGTCTGAGAGATCCTGGCAATGCCAGGCACATCACTCCCACCGGACAATTAGTCCCTCTCCCTCCTGAGCACTAGAGCCTTGTGCAAGAGTGACGCAAGGACAGAGAATGCCCTGCTGCTGATTCATCCCACCAGAGGTGCCTTGAACAGTCAACCTGTCCACCAGGACTGGCCTAGTTCTGTCTCCCCCAAGCTTTATGGTTATGCTGTTCCTATGAGTAACCTCATAGCCTTGTAATACATTTTTGTTTTTAATTTAGATCAGCCAGAATGATTTCTGTCACTGGTAGCCAGAAAACCCTAAATAAGCAAGCTCAAAGGTCAAGAAGATTGGAGGCGGCAGGGTCTTGGGCAGTTTTCTAGACCCTGGATGTTGTGGCTTACTGCGAAGGCATTAGTGACCTAATGTGTAGGAGAATCTACCTGGCTTTTGAGACCCAGAGAAATGATGGTAGTATGTCCCTGCAAGTGCTGCTCCTAAATGCTGAGTCAGTGGGTGGGGGCCGTCACTGAGAGCTCTATCCCAGACATGTGTGTCTTCAGTCTCAAAGCATCAAGCCCACCTCAGACCCACTGTGCTCTGATTCTCTTAAAAGGGGGCCTGGGACCCACAAAGGGAAGCACGGATGGAACAAAGTGCCTCCAGCACGCTGAGCCCAATTAGACTTTTTTTCTCTGCTTTCACCAAAGACTGACAGTCCAGCCAACAGGACAAACAGGCTGGCATAAGAATCTCCTTGGCAGATTTCTCCAGGAAACCCTGTCTCTGACTCTCTCTTTATCAAGTAGCATCCTCCCACACCTTTGTCAGAAAGAGTTTTAAAAGCGCATCACAGCTTCACTGTCCCACTGAGCAGCTCTGAAGTCTCATTTGAGAGAATGAGGAAAACCAAGACAGACAGATGGGGAAAGAGGGAGGCAAGTGGGAGGGAGAGAGGCAGGTGATGAGGGTGAGCTTCTGAGAGGCACCTAGGGCTGCTCTGATGAGGGCTGGACAGGAAGAGCTCTGGAGAAGTGATTCAGCTGGACAGGAAAGAGTGACCAGTTCCCTAATGAGCCGAAGTCGTTAGCAGAGTCTGAGCACCACGAGGTGAGATAATTTGGGTTTTTTGGCTTCTGGGGCCAGAGTCATGTTCTAGCCCCTCACAGAAGTTACATCACATTCAAGTTAAGATGCAGGGCAGGGGAGGTAACAAAGGACAGCCCCACTCCAGGACTCAAGACAGGCAGGGACTGGAAGGGGCAACTCCAGCAGCTGGATCTCGTACCTGCCCCTCACCGAGCTCATCCTTCTGTCTAAGCAGGCATACAATGAAAAGAGTCCCTGGATCTCTGGATTCTAGGTCCTGATCTCTATGAAGGGGTAATTATAGTACCAACCACGTGGGGTTGCAAGAAGAGTAGGTAAGATCACTCATGGATGGTCCTGCTCAAGGGTGTGGCCCACAACAAAGGCTTCATATAGTTAGCCTTTTAAAAGAAGTTTTTATCTATAATGAAATGGGTTTTATTTAAGATATTTAGTAAGAAGCTGATTGCCGCCACAATGGAAAGCAGTATGAAGTTTCCTCAAAAAAATTAGTAAATCTATCACATGATCTGCCTATTCCACTCTGAGTATTTATCAGAAAAACACAGAAACACTAATTTGAAAAGATACATGTATCCCTATGTTCATCACAATGTTATGTTCAGTAGTCAATGTATGTCAACAGTCTGTGGTATCCACTGACAGATGAATCGATAAAGATGCAGTATATATGCACAATAGAATACTATTCAGCCATAATAATGAATGAAATCCTGGCATTTGTGATAACATGGATGGACCTTGAAGATATTATATTATATTAAGTAAAATGTCAGACAAAGACAAATACCATATGATTTTACATGTACATGGAATCTAAAAATACAAAACAAATGAATAAGCAAAATAAATAAAACAAACTCACAGATACAGAGAACAGATCACATGATACCAGACAGGAAAGGAGTTGGATGGTAGGTAAAATGGGTGAAGGGGTTCAACTGCATGGCAATGTATGGTAACTAGTCTTGTGATGCTGATCACACAGCAGTGTATGCAGATGTCAAATTATAATGCTGTACCTAGGAAACTTATATGATAATAGCAATAAGATGGTGGTTATTACCAGACCCATCCCCCAGAAGAACACATCTGAGCCAAATGGGAAGAGATTCAGCCAAGCAGTCTTCCGGTCCTTCCTTCCCTTTGTTTGCATCCACACATACCCTGGTCGTGGGCATGTGAAAGAGGCTATAACAAGAGTCACCTGGAAAATTATTCATCCTTTATTTTCAACTGTTATAATGTAAAGCTTTTGCTCCTGAGTTGCCTGAAGCCAAGTTGGCTGACCTCTGGGGTAGGACTTTTCCACTGCAGTGCAAACAGCATTCTCCTGGAAGAGGAGCAGCCTCATGCTATGGGAAAGGCACGATGTGGGGGCCAGGGTCCCTCCCGCCAGGGCAAGTCATGTTCTCTCCCGGCCTGTGCCCCCAACCAGGAGATGACTGACATGGATGGGTGCTGAGGAGGGGAATGGTGGGTGGGCAGAGGGAACACTGGTAGCAAAACCAGTAGCTCCTTGTGAGACAAGAGCTTTTCAGAAGGCTACTGCTGTCACAGACATGGAGGGCGAATCAGAAGCCCTCCTTTAGGGAGGATCAACTTCTTTTTTTTAATTGAGGTACAGTTGCTTTACAATGTTATATTATTTTCTGCTATATGTATACATATATCCCTCCCTCTTGGATCTCCCTCCAACCTCCCTCCAATCCATCCCTCTAGGTTATCACAGAACACCAAGCTGAGCTTCCTATGCTATATGGCAGATTCCCACTAGCTACTTATTTTACACAGGATAATGTACTTACATCAATCTAAATCTCCCAATTCATCCCACCCACTTCTCCCAAACTGTGTCCACATGTCTGTTTCCTATGTCTGCATCTCTATTCCTGACATGCAAATAGATTCATCTGAACCATTTTTCTAGAAGTAACTCAGAAAGATACAAATGTCATATATTAATGTATATATTGGAACCTAGAAAAAATGAAGGATCTTCTTTTATTTTTCACTCCTAATCCTAACCATCTCCAGAGAGAAGCACCATTCTCTAAATGGTCTCTTCATGAAGCCTGGTTGTTTTTCTCTTCTCTTTCTTCTTTCCATAAATCAGTCTCTTTCCCTCTTTCTCTCTTTCCTTATCTGTTCATATCCCTTGGTTTTTAACTTAGTTGACTGGTCTGCAGGTCTAACAGAGTCAAAGAATCCAAGAGCAAGGCCTTTTTGTGCACCAGGGAAGCTTGAGGTCCAGAGAGAGAAAGAAACTCGCCAAGGTCATGCAGTAAGCAAGGACAGAGAATGAGGAAAGAAGAGGTCTCCAGGTAGGACCCCAATCCTAGGTTCTTTCTCCAGCCGGTGTGTCCTGGCTGGATTCCACCTAACACCCCTTCTGCCCCATGCTAATAGAGATGAAATCCAAGTTACACAGGTCTGTGGTCAATTATGTTGGGTAGGACTGAGCTGAACAAGGAACATGGAACGTACTTGCCGAATTCAGGACTTTCCAAAGCCTTTACTCTATGACTGTGCATAGGAAATCTGCTGATGTGGAGGCTGGGGGATCATGCTAGGATATACAATATTTTCTGAATGTATTTGACATTTGTTTCTTTTTTCCAAGGACCATCTTGGAGATTTACATCCAGCAAAACACATTGGAAAACTCTGTGCCACACGACACAGCCCATGCCAAGAGACCAGGCTGGGGTTCTGGAAATACAGACCTTAAAGAAGAGAGGTCGCAGCATAAAACAAATCCAAGGCAACAAATGCTCTTTCTTTCACCTTATCTTAGTTCCAGAGCTCCACATTTAATGAAATATTTCAGAATGGAAGAGGTGAGGACAGGAAACATCTGCCCTGCTCCCGAGACTCTCCGAGCCACACTTCAACCCAGAGCAAATTAAAGCCCAGGCTCCTAAGACGGAAGTCCTGTGATGAGAGCAGAGAGCAAGCTGGAGGGTTAGGGGCTGAGCCCTGGCCAACTGCAGTAATAAAACAGTGCATGGATGTGGAGGCTTTGGAACAAAAATACCTTGTAGCTATTATTTTCCTGAGTCTCTACCCAAGCACACACCCCCTCTCCCATTCTTTTAATCTGGAGCTACTGAGAAGCGGTATTTTTCTCACCTTTGCAATATGAGAAACAAGTTAATTAAAAATTGCTCCCAACTCCAGTCTCAGAGCGTCCCTGCTTTGGCTGCAGATCTATCAACAGAGTGCTTTGATAGCGGTGCACGAAGCTGGTTATTTGGAGACACTGATAATTGCATTAATTTAGGAGGCATTAGCTAAGTCCTACGATTAATTACACAGGCAGCAGACAGAGCTGTAACCCACCAGATCACTGGATGAGAAAGGCAGAAATGCCAGTTCCCTTTTATTCAGACCCAAACACCCAGACACTCAAATAACCAAAACTGTTTGTAACGGTGACCCTGAGAAACACCAGGACCTTGAAGGTCTTTCTGAATCCTGAAAGAGAGATCAGAAGCCTATTTGTATAATGTTCACTTTAAGGGAATTTTATTGGACTCTGACTCTTTGAAAGTTGGTCATTTAGGAGGGGTACCTGTGACTTAACTCATGGAATCAAAATATCTAGTTAATTAGTTTTGATTCCATTTCTCCATTTATTAACCAGTCTGAGATAAATAGAAATTAGAAATTCTTTCTCTCTCTCTCTCTCCTACTCTATTTTCCACATTTCGCTCTCTCTCACACACACATAAATACACACAGGCCCCAATCTTTCCTCCAAATAAAAAGACTACATGCAAGTACATACAGAGGTAATGGGGGGATTTGGAAGGAATAGACAAAGACTTAGCCTGAGGGGGAAAAAATTAAATATAGAAGAGGCAGGGGACTATGTGGAGATGTGGGAGAGAATATTTCCTTTTCTCCTGTCACTGTCCCACAGCTCCTTTCTCTCCACCCTTTTCTCGTTTCTACCCATTTCTTAAGGCCCAACTCAAGAATCTTGCTTTTTCTTGAAGGTTTTCACAAATTGGGGTGACAGAGTTCTGGGCCAGAGCTTGAAAAGTGCTTCAGGCAGATTTTAGACCTGTTATCTGGCTCATAGATGAAATTTGGGCAAATACTACTGCAGATTTCTGGAAATGGTGCTGTTTCAGGAGGGGTCCCCCTGTTGAAATGGGTGAGGGACCCAGGCTCAGAGATGTAAAAGAATATGTGTAGCACTCATGCCTGCCTGGCTCACGGACCCAGGCTCTTGGCCTTGTACTGTCTCACACTTCCAGAAGGGACTCGGTACCCAGGGGCAAGGAATGATTCCATCCTGCCTGGGCTCTAAGGCCACTTTCTCCGTGGAGTCATGGAGACACCCTGGGAGCCATCTGGTTTAAGAACTTCATTTGTTGGGTCCAGCTTGGCCACTGACTGTGGAAAGAAAGCAATTTTTATTTATATTCCTCAAGTAAAATGTGAGTGCATTCTCATCAGAAAAGAGTCAGATGATCACAGTCAGCTGGAAAACCCCAAAGGGCCCTCCAGCCATCCTATGCTCCCTCTCTTCTCCCTAGCGCTTACACTGTCAACTGTTGGGTTCATGCATGCCTCTGATCATCTCTAAGTATGCTTACATAAATCAGGGGCTTTGTTCTGTTTTGTGATCACACCACTTTTTACAAGATGCTGCTTTATTTAATAATATGCCTGAGAAAGCATAACATAGTAGTAGAAACAGATCTACCTCCTTCTTTTTTAAGGCATAACATTTAATTTTGCCTTTGCCAAACATCTTCTGCAATACTTCTTTGTGAACCCATACAAGTAGATTGCCAGGCTAGATTCCTAGAAGTGAAATTTCCAGGTGTTATAGATTGAACAGTGTTCCTTTCGCCAAATTCATATATTGAAGACTTAACCTTCAGTATCTTAGAATGTGAACTTATTTGGAAATTAGGTCATTGTAGACATAATTAGTTAAGGAAAGGTTATCAGTGTGGGCCCGACCCTACATGACTAGTATCCTTATTAAAAGGAGACACTTGGACACAGAGACAAGCCCAGAGGAGAATGTCAGTCATATAAAGATCAAGCCAAACACTGGGAGGCTGCTTCAGCCAGCCGGGAATGCCAGAGATCGCCAGCAAATCAACCACAAGGTAGGAGAGAGTCATGGAACAGAGTCTTTCTCATAGACCCTGAAGGGCCCAACCTTGCCGACACCTTGATCTTGGGCTTCCAGCCTTCAGAACTATGAGACAAGACTTTTCTGTTGTTTAAACCACCCAGTTGTTGGTTCTTTATATTACATCAGTTCCAGCGAACTAATATGCCGTGTATGCACTTTTAACATTGATAAACAGTGACAAGTTACTCTTCACCCCTGTCCCTCCAAAAAAAGTTTTATCATTTCACAACTCCAGGTATAGTGTATAAGAGCAGTCAAGATTTCAGGCCCAGCAGGTACCCTATGCATATGCATCACCAGCAGTGAAGAAAAGGTCAAGGTCATCACCTTTGTGATCCCACTTAGTGCTAGAACTGAGTCTGTACTGATTTCAGATCTGCTGTTGTTGTATAGTCTCTAAGTCATGTCTGACTCTTTCATGACCCCATGGACTGTAGCTCACTAGGCTCCTCTGCCCAGGGGATTTCCCAGGCAAGAATACTGGAGTGGGTAGCCAATTCCTTCTCCAGGGAATTTTCCCCACCCAGGGATTGAACCTGCGTCTCCTGCATTGACAGGTGGATTCTTTACCAGTGAGCCATTAGAGAAGCCTGATTTCACATCTACCAACTTGGATTTTCTCAGCAGTATTATCACAACCTTTTTAGGATGGGAATGAAGAGAAGATGGCTCACTACAAAACAGGCCAAAAGCCAAAGAAGAAATCCAGGCAGGAAAGTCTCGAAGTTCAGAGGAGAGAGAATTTACTTCCAGCTGACATGACCTATGGAGAAAAGGGCCTTAGAGCCCAGGCAGGATGGAATTGTTGTTCGCCCACTGGAGCCCAAGACTCTCTGCCCTGGGAGATGTGGCAATATGATAGCCTGGAGTCTGGGCTTTAGAATCAGGCAGTCATGAAACTTTTTGATCTCACACAAGTTTTTTTTATGTCTCTGAGCCTAAGTTTCCCATCAGTAAGATGGGGTTAACACCCATCTCAAGAGGTCTCCTCTGAAATCATACCCTGGCCAGTTTGCATATGACTATGAGCACTTCCCTCCACCACATCCTTTGGTTTATGCTTGCCATTTGAGATGACTTTGCTTAAAAAAGAAAGAAAAACAAAAGAAAACTAGCAATGACATGATGAAGATCGGGGCTGGATTGAAACTGCCCTTTCTCCCATGGCCTGTGTTGAGGTTTAGGGCAGGAGGTCATAGGGAGTAGTGTGGACACCTTTCTAATGTGTTTGAGAGAAGAACAAGACTGGAAATTAGCTCTAGAATTATATAAAATGTGCTAAACATAAAAACCACCACATGGACATTAAGTTCTGTGACTAATTATTACACTAAACTCTACCAAGTCCATTCAATAGATGGGTTCAAGCTTGCTTCTCCAGGAAACTTATTGGGGCCAGCCATAGAAGTATTAGTGGAAGTTGATGTGTGTGTAAATGTGGTCAACATCAAAGATAGGGTGTGACAGAGTGTCTCATCAACAAGATGAGATCAGATATTTTTGTCTGCCAAACTACTGCAAGAGAAGTATCATGTAATCAAGGCTCTCTGATTGCAGGTGAAAGTGTGTTAGTTGCTCAGTCATGCTGAACTCTCTGTGATCCCATGGGGTGTAGCCTGTAAAGTTCCCCTGTCTATGGGATCTTCTAGGCAAGAATACTAGAGTGGATAGCTATTCCCTTTTCCAGGGTATCTTCCCAGCTGAGGGGTCAGACCTGGGTCTCCTGTACCATCTGAGCCACCAGAGAAACCCCTGATTGCAGGTAGTGAAGATTGATTCGCATCAGTTCAAGCAAAAGGGGAGATGTTTGGCCACTATAATTTGGTCCCCATCCCCTCTACCTCTCAGCTCCACTTTCTTTTGAGTCAGTTCTATCATGCGGGCTTTTCTGTGGTGGAAAGAAGCTCATCAGTGAGTTTTGGTTTGTAGTCTTCTCTGAGAAATTCCAGTGGAAATCATGACTTCTTTTGCAAAATTAATCTAATAGCCATCCAGAGATAGCAACTTATTGAGTCTGCTTGGATCATGTGCCCACTCTGAACCAATCAGTGTGGCCAAAGGGATGGATATATGCTGATGGGCCAGCTGGACCACATGACACCCAGACTGGGGGAGGAGACTGAGAGCTGGGGAGGCTGTTGGTTATCTGAGGGATAGTAAATGACATTCCTGTTTTTCTCTGAGTTGAGAACAACTGAGAGATGGACAAGGGGTCAGGTAGACACAGTTTGGAAACCACAGTCATTACTGGTAATACTAAGTTTGGAGAAGATAGTTTCAGAAGTTCAGCAACAGTGAGCTTCTAAGTGCTAGCATCCCAGAATCAGCCAGACTATCACAGGAAGAACTGGTAACTACACTTTTCCCTCCCTCTTAGGGCTCTGACTTGTAAAATCATGGCTTAGAAGAGGAGGGACTGTGGGTTCCCTGAGAGAAGCAGGAGGAAGAGGTTGAGCAGAGAAAACCCAGGTCCTTCCCTCAAATGTACCAAACCAACAAATCACTCCCTTTACTGGCGAAGGATGGAGGACAAGGAACANTTTTTTTTTTTTTTTTTTTTGCTTTTTGGCCACTAAGTATGTGAGATCCTTGCTTCCTCTCCAAGCATCAAACCCACAACCAAAGCACTGGAAGGCAAAGTCTTAACCACTGGAACACCAGGGAAGTCCCAATAGTTAACACTTGAAGCCTTTTCATATGCCAGGCACTGGTCTAAGAGTTTCACATTGTTAACCCCTCCAGTCTTTGAAGCAACCCCACAATATAGGTACATAGTACAGGTTCCCTCTTACAGACAAGAATACTGAGGCACAGAGTGGTCGGGAAGCTTGCTCGGGGCCTTACACATGGTAAAGGACGTTGTAGTTGCTGTCATTGTTGTCGGCAGGACAGCTGAGGGGAGCTGCCTGAGAGGAAGGAGGAGTGGTCAGGCAGACAGTGGGGGTGGGGGTGACTTTGTTAGCGCTACATCTCTTCACA